AAAAAAAAAAAAAAAAAAAAAGAATGTTAGAGGAGGAAATTGCTGTATGTTGCCTAAAAGTCTGGAAATGGCTGCTGGTGGGTAGGCTTTCCCATTGTCTCCAGGTGAAATATTTAAAGATAAGGAACATGAGGAAAGCTGCGCTTACCAGGGTAGATCAGGTAGGTCCTGTATACAGTGCCACTGAGAAATTTCACTGTTGCTAAGAGAACCTAACTTCCGTAGACTTTGTTGTTTAAGGCACTTAGGATGCTGTAAAGTCTTGAACTCATTACACTTTTATTATGGGCTGCAGAAAACAACAGTAAAGGTTAATTAGTGCCATATTTATCCTTACATGCTGCTTTTACATCTCCTAAAGCTTTATCACGTATTGATCCTTTTTTATTTTTCTCCTGCTGTATGGCCCAGTTCCAAGAACGGACATATCTGGGGATTAGATGACAGCCAGTATTTAGGCTGAATTAGAGGAAGCAAAGGCAATCCTTTTGCAACGGAAGTTGTGTTTTCCTTTCAGATGCAAAAATCTAGGGTATTTTCGAAATGTTGGTGTTAAATCTAAAGCACATTTGAGATTCTTTTCTTTAACCACCCCAGTAATGATAACATAGATATGTTTTGAAACTGTGATGTTCTCCTGTCTCTCAGGCTTTTTGTGGAAGGAATGCAAGGAACAAAGACATTTTTTGTTAATTTTTGTTGCTGAATAAGGTTGCTTATAACCCCAGAGGCAGCCACCCATCATCATCTTGTAGGATCCAGCTTGTAGGATCATCTGATAACTCTGTAAGGCGGCTCGTGCGTCGGGCTTGGGCACCATAGTCTCTGCCTTGCCCTGATCTTCCCCTTCCTGAGTGTTGGGATTCCACCAGCTGGTGCCTGGCACTGTTCTTGTTTGTCTGAATATGCAGTGGGCATTCCCAGATGAGACCCCCTAAGTCAGGCCCACACAGAACACTCCTGTTCCCTCCCTCCATCAGCGACTTGCCTGTCAATTCTTGCCCTGCTTTTCTCCTTTCACTGATGTTCAGGGCAGCATTTGGTACTGGAGACCTATTTTCACCTGCTTCCCACCTTTTCTCCAGCATTTTTTTTGCTTTCTCCACTGGTTCCTATGCCAGCATGTTTTAGTCAGAGGATCACAGCGGCATTTATACCTTGGATTTTCTTTTTGTGCTATCATTTCAGGCGAAGGTAGTATTTATTACTTCTGAAAACAGCAGGGATAATGTGAACTAATACCTAGTGTAAGGCCTAAATACTACATTTTACTCTTGATGACTTAAACTTGTATTTTCATTAGTATAATTCTATGAGCAAAGTTTAAAAAGCCAACAGTTCTGAAAAGCCTATAATGACAAAGTCATTAATCCTCACTCCCTCTCTGCCGCTCGCAACTCTTCTAGCTCTTTCTCCTGGTGTTTGTCTCTATATTTCTAAATAATCTCATAGTATTCTTTCAGGACTTTTTAGACTTCACCCACTTTGTTGAAGGAGTCTTTAATGCTCTTAGGCAGCCCCTATGCCCACTGCATTTTCCTTCTCTCCACACCCCTACAGTTTATTTTTGGATATATTTTCTGGTCTTGAAGTGCTTGTCAAGTTCATCCCAAGTAAGCAGTAAGGCAGGTTTCTTGTTTTTTATGATTCGCTTCGCTTCGCCTCTCCTCTCCTCTCCTCTCCTCTCCTCTCCTCTCCTTCTCCTCTCCCTTTCCTCTCGCTCTCCTCTTCCCTCTCCTCTCCCTTCTCCTCTCCCTCTCCTCTCCCTCTCTCTCTCCTCTTCTCTTTTTTGAGACAAGGTCTTATTCTGTCGCCCAGGCTGGAATGCAGTGGTGTGATCATAGCTTACTGCAACCTCTGCCTCCTGGGCTCAAGCAGTCTTCCCACCTCGGCCTCCTGAATAGCTGGAACTGCAGCCTGTGCCACCACACCCAGCTAATTTTTGTATTTTTTTGTAGAGACCATGTTGTCCAGACTGGTCTCAAACTTCTGGCTCAAGTGATCTGTCTGCCTTGGTTTCCCAAAGTGTTGGTATTGCAGGTGTGAGCCACTGCACCTGGCATCGTGTTCTTAGTTGGCTAAATTTACTCTAATCTCAATGGTTGATACCAGAATATTCTCGAATACCAACCTTGTCAGTAACTGAACAAACTACATGTTAAGACATTTCTTGGGCATTGGCGATACTGGTGATACAGACAAAGGCCTATACCACTTTCATCAGGAAAAGAACCTTATACCTCCAGATGTAAACATAACTTATGGCTTAATTACTTCTTAACTGTTCCACCTCTCAACACTGTTGCATTGGGGATTAAGCTAGCAACACATCAACTTTGAGGAAAACATTCAAACCATAGCAGCCTTCTTTTACTGGTGGGGAAAGAAACAAGTTTAAAAGACTGGAAAAATACATAGGTACTTATGGGACTGGTCATTGGTTTCTCCACTGTAGATTCCATTCTCACACTAGTTGGTGACACAGCAGGGCAGGTTGGAAGCCAGAAATGGGAAATAAACTGCTTCAGGTTAGAGGCAGCATCTGTCAGGCAGGACTGGGGGTAGTGTGTACTCGCCCTCCACATTGAGGAAGGGTAGACAGAGGCATCGTAGTGCACGTCTACCAAGAAATTAGGGAGGTTATCCCTGTAGTCTGCCTAGATGGTTCAGGTTGTCTGAAACTTAAATGGAAGTTGAGGCTCTGAATACATGTAGGACTTCTGAATCTGTGGCAGGTAGTACAGAATTACCTGACTTAGAGAATAAATAGAGAGGCCCGGCATCTATGTGCAACTCAGCCTCATCAGCCGCAAGCCAATGCCCTCTCTCACCTCACTCCAGTAATACTTAATCTAGCCGTAATTAGCCAACCAAAGATAGGGACAAGATGCCAAGGCCAAGAGCTCTTGAGAATTGAGCACTCCATCTAACAAGGGAGGTCATCAAGTTTCTCCTCCACCCTTTCCCTGAAGTAACTCTTGGAGTGAGCTCAGGACACTGGGTTCAGATGGCTTGGAAAGTTTTTCTGGGGCACTGATAACAGCAGACATTTTCTTGGAAGTTTTTTACCTCAGAAAATTCCATTTGTCAAAGATTGCTGTAGAGCAATATGTGGCAATTACAATATGGAAAAAAAACAACAAAGGAAAGGTTTTATGAGAGGGAAGCTCAAGCAATTCCATTAGAACAGGTCGACTCACCCACCAGTAGTCTGTTCTAACAACTTTAAAAAGGAAGATGAAATGAAACCATGACATCATAGTGAACAGAACTGAGAAAACAGATGAATTGCGAGACTCACCGGGATAGGCTGTTCATAAAAATCACCTGTTTCTCAATTTCTGAGGTGTGATTGTGGTCATAAACATAAAGCTACTCCAGCTCTCAAAGACCGACTGTCTCTCCCACAAAGCACTCACCAGATGCGAAGTGAGAGAAGGGCAGGGACGGGGAAGAACCTCGTTCTGTGAGGGCACAGATAGAGGACCCTGACTCAGCTGCAGCTCCCAGAAATACCAGCTCCTGGAGAGGCTGATGTTGGATAGTTGAGCTGAGATTTCAGGGTTAAGGATGGTTTCATTTAGGAAAAGAGGGCAAAGGAATGAGAGGAGATTGTCCTGGCAGAGGGCACAGCATGTGCCAAGTCACCGTGGTGGGAGGAAAGGAGATGCAGTTGAAAAACTCAAAGAACCAGTGCTCAGGGTGGAGGGGCAGGGAATAAAAGATAATGCTGGAGGGTTAGGCCGGCCCGATACCGTGAGATCAAGGGTTTCAAGCAGGAAAAATGCCGCATTAAGATTTCCTGTGTGAATAGACCACTCTGCCTGCAGTAGGCAGGGTGTGCTGGGGCCATGGGAATGCTGGGTGGCCTGTCAGTGAGCCATTCCTGTAGCCTGGGGGAGGGCTGGAGAGAAGTGGATGGACGTGGGAAATCTGGGTGGGGGGGTAAATCCACAGACTTGACAGAGTGGCTATGAGGGAGAGGGAGTGGTCAAGGGTGCCACTTAAGTTTCTGACCTACAGAAAGTGCTAGACTGGATGATACTACATTCTCTCTCTTTCTTTCTCTTTCTTTCTTTCTCTCTCTCTCTCTTTCTTTCTTTCTTTCTCTCTCTCTCTCTCTCTTTCTTTCTTTCTTTCTTTTTTTTTAAAAAAGAATTCCTCTAATGATTTTTCATGAATAGGTTCTTTTGGTATACCTTTCCACAAGTACAAGTACTGATAGATTTGCTTTTGGAAAATCTTTAGGGAAGGCAGTGGGCAATGGGAAGGGGGTTATCACGAAAGATGTGAACGCCGAAATGGGAGGCCTCAGCAATCCAGAACTTGGAGTGTGAGCACTACTTAGAACTGACATTTTGAGTGTTGGCAGAGGGAATGTCGTCAAGATGCTCCTGATACATGTTTTTATAAGTGATTGAAATGAAAGATGAGATGCAGATGGAAAGGAAGTACAGTGTGTGGTGTGTCTACGTTACGCCTGTATTTGAACATGATTGTTGGAAAGACTGATCAGATGTTATAGTTTAGGGACCATGCTTACCCAACAATCATTCCTTTAAAAGTAAGGCTTGAAATTTGGGAAATGGCATATTTACAAGATGGCAAAACCTGATTTCTTTTGTTTTCTAAGGTGATTGATATGCCCGAACACAACCCTGGCGATTTGGGAGGAACAATGAGACTGGGACTAAGAAGAACTGTTTTCAAAACTGAAAATTCAGTACTAAGTAAGTTTCCCAGATTGTTTATTTTATAATTTATTGGATGTCACTCATGTGACTGCAGGTGCCGAGCCCTCTGGGTGGTGGAGATTCACCCCTGCCCCTTCCAGAATCCTCAGAGGGCCCTGATTCTCCCTCTTTCTATCTCCGCTGCCCTTACTGACCCTCTACTCTGGGCATTCCTCTCTCTGGTAAGCTTGTCCCTTGGCCTGGCCTTGGTAGAACAGACTGAATGCCCCTTTGCATTTGATCTGCATGACTCCCTATTCATTGGGCTGTTTTGTGAGTTACCAATGCTCCTGGAGATGAACTTGGATGGGGAGAGAGAACCCTGATTCACACTCAGTTCTTTTGAATCCACAGTTCTCTCTTTTACATTGAAACTGGTTCCCTGTTTAATGTCTGTTTGCCTGGTCTTAGTGACTCACAAATGAACTTCCAAGGAGGAGAGCAGTTGTGCATCTCAGAAGTGTATTTCTCTCTCCCCTTGGCAGCCCCAGTGTGGGGAGATGGCTCACCATTTGATATTTGCTGATCTTTCCACTCCCCATAAGGTTAATTCTAATTTCTGTGGAACTTTTTTCTTAAATGAGCATATTATATAAGAATAGCTTATTGTTTAAAACAAACCAAAGCCTTTAATTCAATTCAATAAATGTATCTTGAATGCCCACTCTGTGTCATGTGCAAATATAACAGTGACCAGGACAGATTCCAGCCCTGCCCTCCTAGGGCCTCAAAACAAGCAGAAGAAATGTGACAAAAGGGAAAGGCAGGTTGCTAGGGGGGCCGGATGCAGAGGGGGAGCCCAGGAATCGCGAGTGTTCTGTGTAATTTTCGTGAAATTATAAGAATCCCTTAGAATCCTGTGAAGTTATAAGAATTCCTTAGAAAAATGCCTTCTTAAGAAAGAGTAAGGCCAGAAATATGAACTCCTCCTTTAAAGATGAATATAAACCTTCTCAGGAATAGAAAGCTTCCTAGCCAGAATGAAATTTAAAAATAAAAGGCTTCAAAGTAAATACGGTTCCCTCCTTTCTCTGCATAAGAAGTCATTGTTCTCTAAGTCACTAACATTTTCCCTTGCAAATACTATATAAAAAGTTTTTTTCTTCATAAATGTTAGCAATTCTGCAGCTTTCAGGTGTCTTCAGATACTTTGAAACTTTGTTCAAATAATTGCCTACGTGACAAAAAATGCTTAGTGAAAAATTAATGTCCTAAAATTATATCCATTGAGAAAGATTCAGTGGTAATTGTACTAAGTTTTTAAAAAGAGCATTGTACTCAATATAGTTAAAAATTTGATAGCTGTAAGTCTGATTTAAGATTTTTCTTGGCCAGTTGCAGTGGCTCACACCCCTATCCCAGCACTTTGGGAGGCGAGACAGGCAGATTGCTTCAGCCCAGGAGTTCAAGACCAGCCTGGGCAACATGGGGAGACCCTGTCTCTACAAAAAATTAGCCTGGCATGGTGGCTTATGCCTGTGGTCCCAGCCACTTGGGAGGCTGAAGCGGGAGGATCACCTGAGCCCAAAAGGTTGAGGCTGCAGTGAGACATGATGGTGCTACTGCACTTCAGCCTCGGTAAAAAAGATTTGTTTTTCTTAGTGCTGGATGTGGTATAATGTGCCTGTAGTTCCAGCTACTCAGGAGACTGAGGTGGGAGGATTGCTTGAGGCCAGGAGTTGGAGACCAGCCTGGGAAACATAGTGAGACTCCGTCTCAATTTAAAAAATAAAATTTGTGGCTGGGCACGGTGACTCACACCTGTAATCCCAGCACTTTGGGAGGCTGATGCGAGTGGATTGCCTGAGGTCAGGAGTTTGCGACTAGGCTGGCCAACATGGTGAAACCCCATTTCTACTAAAAATACAAAAAAAATTACCCAACCATGGTGGCACATGCTATAATCCCAGCCACTTGGGAAGCTGAGGCAGGATAATTGCTTGAACCTGGGAGGTGGAGGTTGCAGTAAGCTGAGATAGTGCCATTGCTCTCCAGCCTGGGCGACAGCGCGAGACTCTGTCTCAAAAATAAAATAAAATAAAATTAAAAAAAAATGAAATTTGTTTTTCTTCACAGTAGACATAAAAATATTGATGATTTTTATAAATCTTAAACACAGCACCAAAGCTTGTTTTGAAAAATTTTGCAAACAACTTTATTGAGGTATAATTTATCATATAATTTATCTATTAGTAGCGTACAATTCACTGATTTTTTTGTGTATTCACAGAGTTGTGCAACCATCACCACAGTCAATTTTAGGACATTTTCATCACCTCTTGTAGAAACCCTATACCCATTAGCTGTCACCAACCCTACACCTGCTAGCCCTTGGCAACCACTAATCTACTTTTTGTCTATGGGTTTGCCCATTATAGACATTTTATCTAAATGGAACTATATGATTTGTGGTCTTTTGTGTCTCACTTCTTTCTTTCTTTTTCTTTCTTTCTTTTTTTTTTGAGACAGTCTCGCTCTGTCACCCAGGCTGGAGTGCAGTGGTGCGATCTTGGCTCACTGCAAACTTCACCTCCTGGGTGTAAGCAATTCTCCTGCCTCAGCCTCTCGAGTATCTGGGATTACAGGCACCCACTACCATGCTTGGCTAATTTTTGTATTTTTAGTAGAGACGGGGCTTCACCATGTTGGCCAGGCTGATCTTGAACTCCTGACTTCAGGTGATCTGCCCACCTCGGCCTCCATAAATGCTGGGATTCCAGGCGTGTGAGCCACCACACCTGGCCTGTCTTCTTTCTTTTAGCATAATGTTTTTTTGCTGTATCAACTTTATAGCATGTATCAGTATTCATTCCTTTTAATGGCCAAATAATATTCCATTGTATGGATAGACCACATTTTGTTTATCCATTCATCAGCTGGTGGACGTTTGGGTTGTTTCCAGGCAACAATTTCTTTAATTTTTTCTCTTTACTTTTTTTTTTTTTAAGTCCTTTTCCTAAAGAGAAAGAAAGTTATGTTGCCTTACATTGAAGTTGTGCTTCCTAGTTTGCAGGAAGCATGTGATCTATGCGCCGGCGCCCTCCCACCTGTGCAGCTCTGTCTCTCGCAGGTCTCCAGAAAAGGCTGTGCCAGAGATAAGAATGTGACCACTGTGTGAGGCTCTACTGTGTGACATAAAAATATAAAACCAAGTAGCGTGGTAATGTTTGATGGGCCCTTTTCCCCCTAGTCAACATATTTCTTTTGTACGATCTTATGTATTGTTTTGTTTTTATAAGCTAGCATATTTCTTTTGTAGGATTCCCCCATCCCATATTGCCATGTTTCTTTTGTAGACTTTTTTCTAAGTCAGCACATTTTTGCAAGAATGCTATGAACAAGATACATTTGCTTACATTGCCTGTGAAAACAATGAAGAGTTTTGATAGAAAGCATTTAAATGCTATTCATTTTTTCATTTTAATTTGATTTATAGGCCAGTACTTATAATGCTTGGATTAAATGGAAAAACAGGAAAGTAAAGAGTTCTCTAGTAAAAAAGAATGCCTTGAAATAGGACCACAGCCTAAAGATATTGATAGCCACAGTGGGTGGATGACTAGATTGAGTCTATTTTTTTTTTTTAGACGGAGTTTTGCTCTTGTTGCCCAGGCTGGAGTGTGGTAGTGCGATCTTGGCTCACTGCAACTTCTGCCTCCTGAGTTCAAGTGATTCTCCTGCCTCAGCCTCCCGAGTAGCTGGGAGTACAGGCGTGGCCACTATACTGAGCCAACTTTTTGTATTTTAGTTGAGATGGGGTTTTACCATGTTGGCCAGGCTAGTCTTGACCTCCTGACTTCAGGTGATCCTCCTGTCTTGGCCTCCCAAGCTGTTGGTATTATGGGTGTGAGCCACCACGCCCAACCGAGCCAAATTATTATATTCAAGAACAATTCCTCTTATTTTCTTAATCACCTGTTAATTCCTTAAGGGTTATGAAAACTACGAATTAACTTTTTCTGAAGTGAAGATTATAGGTATGAATTGATTTGGACAAAAGTACTGGTAATGATTATTTGCCCTGTTTATACGCAGTGTGTTCCCAGAAGTTCCCTTCCTGTGTTCTATGTGTTTTCTTCATCTGCAAAGGCCTTTTCCTGTAAAAGGGCTAATGACAGCATGTGTAGAATTATCAAAGCTGATTCAAGCATCCTTAGAAATGAGATATTTTGAGGAAGAGGGAGAAATTTGCTAAAGGATTCAAAATTACCCTGATTTGATCACTATACATTATATGTATTGAAACATCACTATGTGTCCCATAAATATGTACAATTATTATTTGTCAATTAAAAAGAGAAGTAAGATTTTTAAAAAATTGTATATCTATAAACTTCTACCTGAGTATTAGTTGCACATCTATGGTATTTTCCAGACTTCATCAAGATTAGTTTTTATATTAATCTTTTCTGGTAGCATCCCTTTTTCCTATATCTGGTCTTCCTGTCTATGATTTGAGCATATAGTATTTAATTGAGTTAAAGGAAGCATATTCCGCTGATTTATTTCTTATTGATAAATACTTCACATGGTTTCTGACATTTTGTTGGAAAAATGCTGAATCTAAAAGACAATGAGTTCATGTCCTTTGTAGGGACATGGATGAATCTGGAAACCATCATTCTCAGCAAACTGACACAAGAACAGAAAATCAAACACCACATGTTCTCACTCATAGGCGGGTACTGAACAATGAGAACACATGAAAACAGGGAGGGGAGCATCACACACTGGGGTTTGGGGTGGCCAAGGGAGGGACAGCAGGGCAGTGGGGGAGGTTGGAGAGGGATAACATGGGGAGAAATGCCAGATATAGGTGATGGGGGATGGAGGCAGCAAACCACCTTGCCATGTATGTACCTGTGCAATAATCCTGCATGATCTGCACATGTACCCCAGAACCTAAAGTACAATAAAAAAAAATTAACTACTAAAAAGAAATAACATGGAAGAAAATAGTATTTTAGAGTATTTTAGGTTTTAGGATGAATGGTTAA